TACGTTCTCTCTCCGAGCTCTCTGCAGCTTTTTCACAACCGAAAATGATGAATAATGTTTGGGGTTTTATACAGTACTGTAGTGGTTTATTGGAATTTTCTCATCACTTTGCTCTAGTCCTTGGCTCCGTACAGTAAGTAGCAGCCCTGCCTGCGTGCTGTGCTCATTAGTATACTCATGCTCATCAGCTAACTGTAATCTCAGTCATCGGTCAGTGCGACCTCTGCCAGCTCTAGTCCAGTCTCCGGGAATCCCGTCCGCCTTTCAATCTGGCCCAGGCTTCGCTTTTATGTATCGCATCCCCCCGGCCCCCGACTGTTCCGTTTTCCAGCTCTAGCTGCCCTTCCTTCCTTCCTTCCTTCCTTCCGACGGATCTGCTGCGAGCCTGCTCTGGAGAGAAAATCTCCCCAAATCTTGGAGAAATGGTCCAGATTTTTTAGCACTGCTAGAATTTACCCGCTGCTGCGAGGCAACGGGATGCACTACTACAAATCCTGGCGAGGAGGAATTGAATTGAATTGAGCAATCTGATTCCTTTTTTTCAATGCACCGAGAGACATCACGCACAAGACACCGATCGAGCAAATCGCAGCGGCTGCCATTGGTGGACCATTGCGGTTAGATGCTGGGACCTTTCTCCGCTTAACGAACAACGAAAAGCGAATGTTTCTCCTTTTGAGGGCCTTTTGAAGTCTGGCTACGAAGCGATGGATACGGACTCGCGAGCTTGCTTTCTCGCCGGGAGGAGGACGAGGGACAGAGCGAGAGGGAGGGAGAAGTAGAGAGCTATGGGAATGAATGACTGAATGAATGAAGTGCATATAATAGTGGATAGAAGCATAAAGCATGGGCAATCCCCAAAGATATTATTACGGTACGCCCAGCATCGTCGTCGTCGTCGTCGTCGTCCTGTACATGACACTCGCTCGCCGAAGGAATGATACGAGTCTCGACGAGGACGACGAGAGCAAATTGGGGGCAGTGACGGAGAGGGGAGGGGAGGGGAGGGGAGGGGGTCTGGAAAAGGTGGTGGAGGCTGCTTTGGAAGAGAGAGAGAGAGAGATTTTCAATTCAATAAAAACTGGGCAGCCACGTTCGAAAATCCCGCCCTGCTTGTCTGTGGATGGTGGACAGTGGCTGCCAAAGAATCCTGGTATTTTTCGAGAAGGATTATCTCCGAGCATTAGCGCATATGTGAGGGAGAGAGTTGTGGATTTTAAGTTTGTCGGGCAAGCGCTTGCATCGCTACTTTTGTCAGACAGCCGCAGCATGGACTCCAAAAGTATGGTGGTACAGTAACATCCTATCATGCTAGTCCACTGTCCTTTCCCCATCCCCCTTTCCCCTTTCTTCTTTCCATCCTCGTCCACCATCTTCTTCTTCTTCTTCTTCTCCTTCCTCCTTCCTCCTCCTCCTCCTCCTCTCCAGCAGCAACCGGCAGCTGCTGCAGCAGCAGGGGGGACGAGGAGGCAGTAGCAGCAGCAGCAAGCAGTAAGAGAGAGTACGTCAGCGGCCGCCCCGCCCCCCCCCCCCCCCCCCCCCCCCTCCATCTGTCCGTTCGTTCGTTCCCCTTTCGGGTTGTATATGGGCATGGGGGGGGGGGGGCTGGCGGAATTCCGATTCCAATTCCAATTCCCTGAGCACGAGGCCGGCCTCTCTCTCTCTCTCGTTCCGGGCCGAGCCGCAACTGTTGGCTCGCATCGGTCCAGGGCAGTTCATTTCAGGTGCAGCGATATAATCACGGAGATCGGGCACTGGGAACGGCATGGCCAGTCCAAACCCAGTCTTTTTCATTCCTGCCCCATTAAATTTATCGGATGGGCCCCCCAGCAGCAGCGGCTGCGGCTGCTGCTGCTGCTGCTGGGCTCTCTGGGCCTTCGTTGGGGGAGCTTTGATGTGGTTTGGATTGGAATTTGCCGCAAGCATCCAGGAATTCCCCTCGCTATCAACCCCCAGGCGCCCTGCATTGACTACGCCATTGACCTAACCCGTAGTCCTCTTCTGTAGTAGTAGTAGTAGTAGTAGTGATACTAGTCGAGGACGCCGGCAGCACAGCAGCAGCATGAGAGAGAGAGGCATGAGTGGGGAGATGGTGGGCGATGGAGGAGGAGGAGGAGGAGGAGAGAGCGACGATGGATGGATGCATCCGAGGCCTATATTCTCATGACACTGTAGGTGGCAGTGGGAGCTCAATGAGGAGGGCAGCAGCAGAGAGCACAACAGCGCAGGGGCAGCGCATCCCAGCACAGCACAGCACAGCAGCGCCTCCATCTCATTCCGGGAATCTAGAGACCGAACGCGACCAGTGCGGGTTTTAAGCACGGACTCTTCCAATTAAAGAGCCATAAACGGTCCCTGGACTCAACATTGTTGGGCCACTCCATTCCCCTCCCCTCCCCTCTCCTCCCGTGCTCCTCTGTTCTGCCTGCGCAGCGGCCGGGGCTCGCTCCTATCATTCATACGTGACCATCATTCCACATCCCTGCTCCTCCTGCTGCTGCCCTCCATCTGGCCCCCTCTGCCGCAGCTCAGCTCAGCTCAGCTCAGCTCCCCATCTCAAGCTCAGCTCAGCCGAGCCGAGATTATGAAGTCGGGTGCTCTTCTTCGGACCCGACGACAAACGAGGGTGCGGATGAAAGCGAGGGAGTAAGAAAGAGAGAGAGAAGGAAAGGTGAGCTTCGAAGAAGAAAGGAGATATCGTCGAAGAAAGTACGTTGCTACCTTACAAAGACTGCCCCACTGGACTGGACTGGACTGGACCGCTGAGCAGACGCACACTGGCCAGTGGACACCCTACGAAGGAGGAGGGGGGGGGGGGGGGGGGGAGGGGAGCTTGGATTATCAGGAGGGCCCTACACAAACATATGTTCATCCTGTGACACTTTCTCCTCATCATATCTTATCATCTCCCTCTTCTTAAAGCGTATCCAACTGACACTGAACTATCCAGATTCCAGTCCTTTCCGTTTGGTGTGTAGTGCCACAGCGGATGGACGCAGCCACTGTATCTCGCCATCCCAATTCAGAAAGCGAGCCAAACCAACAGCATACTACAAACTACGCTTGCCACCACCAAGCTATGCTATGAATGCTCGCTGGCTCCGCTGGCTCGCTGGCTGCTGCTGCTGCTCCTCCTCCTCCTCCTGCACCCCGCTTTCAACCCGACACACATTTCCCTCAATGACCTGACCAGTCTCCCCTTCGACTCCACTTGTTTCGCATAGATATCACACCCCCACGTCAAATTCCATACAGCCCCACCTCCCACCGCACCCTCCCGTCCTGTCCCGTCCCGTCCCCTCCCCTCCGTTGGGCCAGGCCAGGCCAGGAGAGCACGGGCTCTTCAGATACCGGTAGATGCTGCTGCTGCTGCTGCGGCTGCGGCTTGCAGGCTTCTTCAAGGCCGAAAATATATGCCTACGGATACTTATATCGACCTTTCGACATGGCTAATGTGAACAGAAGCTCCTCTGCTCTGCCCCAGCACCAGCACCAGCACCAGCAACGACTGCTGCTCTCGATCTTGCACAGTGGGGGCTTTGAAGAATCGGGCCTGGGATAAAGTCCGGATCCGCTAGCACTTTGTTCAAACCTTTTTCCTGCGGATGATTGGGCTCCCCTTGCTGAGGAGAAGGCAGTCATGACTCGGGTCGGCCCTTATTATTACCTATTATGAAAGTTTATCCCATCCCGTCGCATCGATCCCTACACTTGTGCTGCTGCTGATGCTGCTGCTGCGGGTTTACCTCGCTTCTGGAGATCTTCCGGCAATTTCCGCAGCGCAGGCGGAAATCCAATTGGACGGATCATCCGCCAAATTTGGCCTATTGGGCCCCCATTTCTCCTCGCGAACCACCTGCTCCTCCATATTCTTCTCTCGGCCTCCTTGTCCGCCTCTGGAATGGTGACAAATTTAGCCCCGCCCTGCCTTAAACTGGACCGCCGAGACAAAACCTGTTCCGGTATGTTTAAGGCTCAGACGACTTCACAAGGAGCCAACATTTATAAGAAACCCGTGCCCCCTCTCCAACTGCCCGATCTCCGTGGCTTTCCACACAAGCCCATTGGAAGCTTGCGGATCCGGTATTCATCAGCCCCGGATTTAGCCCCCTTCCTGAACAGGCCGATCGCCCACCGGCCAGGCTCGCGAGGAGCGAGGGGCCGACGAGAGAGGTTGGCGATGGAGGGCAAGGGGCTGGCGCTAGCTCCTGCTCTCCCGCCACGATAGCCCGAGCTCTAATTTCACGGTTGGTGCCAAAGTCAATGTGCTTAATGAAGGAAGAGGTGGCGGGCCTCGACCCAAGGGTGGAGGGGGAAACCCAAGGGGGAGGCTGGAGGGAGTTTAGCGAGCCGGCGGGGGAGGTGGGAGGGGCAAGGGGCAAGGGGGAAGGGGGGGGAAGGGGCTAGATTTAGCGGGAGGGGGGACGGGGGAGGGACTTTTTTAATAAGCGCGATGAAATGGCGCGGGCGGGGCAGGCGTCAGAGCATGCGGAATCCACATGGACTAATAAACACCGCGGTCACCAGTCCCACCTGCACATCCCCCGCTCTCGCATAGATCCCACATTATGCATGTCATAACATACCATAGCATCATGACATGCTATGAGAGCTGATTGTATGCATGGATAGGGAGGGAAGGGGAAGGAAGGGGGGAGGGGGCAGGGGGAGAGGAGGGGAGGGGGGGGGGCTGGGGCTGGGCTTGCCGGGCCGTGCATCTGATAATGCGGAAGGGGGAACAAAAACAATTAATAAATAATAGGGCGTCACTTCTGTTGTTTTGCTCCACGGTGGAAGTAGTAGTCATAGGCCCGTCAGTAGAAGTAGATTGGTCTACAAAACCTTTCTTTCTCTTTCCTTTTTGTTGCATCTGCGATGGCCATTTAACGCGCGCGCATCAATTTGGCTCTTGCCTTCTCGTCGATCGAGGCGGAACACACTCACTCCTCTACCTACTCTGGCCCCTTCAAGTGACTTTACCCCCTCCCTCCCTCTCTCTCTCACACTCTCTCACTGCCTGGCTGGCTGCTCGGCCTCTCTCGATTATTGCCCGTCTTTATGACCCGTTTACCCGCCTGCCTGTCTGTTACCCGGTTTAACCACGTGCCCTCCTTGTCCGCTGGTCCCGGACCGATGGCTGCCGCATTCTTGTCTCCACGCATGGCATGCGATGATGCCACTGTCTGACCCCTGCCTGCCAGGTTCGGCCTCGGCAAATGATGGGCCTCGCCCTTGTCTCTGCCAATCGTCGGGCACGTTGCTTCGGCTGTGGCCGAAATGATGGGGCCTTGTCCCGAGCGATCGCGGGCCGGGCGAGTACGGGGCCCGCGCTCGGGGCCTTGATGGGCTTTGTCTCTTGCTGTCACCGGCTCCCCGCCTCGGCACCGGGCCGCCGCAGGCTCGCGCCCGCCCCGGCGCCGCTCCGTGCCTGCGCCGCTTACGGGCGGGCGCCGCGGACGGTCGACCTGTACGTCTCCACGTCGGCTTGGCTCTGACCCGCCCAGCCTCGTGGCCTGGCTCCACGGGGATCGGTGTCAGTCAAGTCCACAAGACCTCACGGGGAGATTCACCACCGAGACATAATTACTTTTACCCGACAACAAATGACAGGCGTCGATTTTATTATCTGACGCTTTGCATGCAGAGATTTTGTTTGACTACCTCATTGAACTCCGGTCTTTCCATCAGGCTCGGGCCTCCCAGAAGGTAAAGATGCGCCCAGGCTCGGCACTAGGCGAAGAAGAAGAAGAAGCAAGCACGCGAGCGAGCGAGCGACGCTTGCCCCCCCCCCCCCCCCCCCCCTTCGGCGCTTGGCCGCACTTGGGTGGCACAGCGGTGTTGGGGTTGGGGGTTGGGGCTGGGGCTGAGGGGCATACAATGTCCGTTTTGTGGGTACAAGGAGGGCCGGTGGCAATATGGTTTTTTCCAACATTATGGCCATCGCTCCAAAGAGCAGCGAAATTCCAAAACCTGGAAGCCAGAGTATAAAGGCCAATGCTGGTCCTTTTTTGTCTCCTTGAACAGAGAGAATAGTGAGCCTTCTAGACAGACAAATGTCAGTGGATGGATGAATGTATGTAGTAGAGATATCTCAATCTTCGCGTACCTCTGGTTTTTGTTTGTTCCAAGATTTTGATTTGGGAGCCTGCTGCTGTTCCTGTTGCTGGCTGCAGCAGTGCTACTGCGCTGCCTCCCCCTGCTACTGCTGCTCCTCCTCCTCCTCCGCCTGCTGCTGCCGCTGCTGCTGCTGCTGCAGCCATAAGGGTTCCTCCCCTTCCTTTCCCTTCCCTTCTCTTGACTTCCATGCCCTCTCCACTTATTCTTCGGTGTGGAATGTCAACATTATGCCTCTCATTGGCAAGGTTGGCCCACTATCAATGCATCATCTTTGCAGGCGCAGGGCCGAAAAAGACTCTGAGTTTACGTCCTCGTTGGGTCCCATGGATGGATAGAGAAGAAAGAGGAGAGGCAGGGCCGAGAGAGTCTATGCGAGAGTGAATGATCTCATCTCACCCTGGAATGTTGTGGGACAAAGTGGATGGATGCCTGGAGTCAAAGATTTTGCATCAGCTCCTCTCTCTAGGCCTGAAGGGATCAAGGCAAGGGCGAGGAGTCAACTGCAAACACTTAGAAGGGGGGGATGCGAGGGCAGGGGACAGAACACTTTGTAATTTTGCCACTCACAAGAATCCACTTGACAGACCTAACACAATGAGACACAGGTATAATAATGATTGAATGAGTGAGCCAGCCAGCCAGCTCCCATGGACCCCAAGACAAGCTCGCCATTTAGATAACGCAACGCACCTGAACCACAACGGGACACAAGGGGAATGAGTCCGCTAAGCCCCACTAGAGCAGCAGCAGCAGCAGCGCCCGTCCGCCCATGACAAGAATGCTAGACTTAAGCAAAACATGGGGACAGGTCCGAAATGATGATGCTGAATCAGATATTTGATCCATCATCACAATGCCCACAACTTGATCCTCCAACTACTCTCTTCTTCAGCGAGAAAAGGCATTGATGGGCACACCATGTCCAACGCAGTCAAGTTTAATGCGGTTGACACCTAGGACTTTGTCAAGCCCGCAATGGTACCGGAATCCAAAGCCGAGGAGCACTAGACACCATGTTCATTTGACATTCGGTAAAAGTACGCAACATAATGTTGACTCTGGACTTGACAAAAGAGGTGTCTTCCACCGGGACTCTTTTTTTCGAACACATACAAGGACTTCATTACTTTCTCTGATTATATTGCAAGTTCTGTCCCAATCATTGCAGTGGATGAAAAGATTGCATTCCGGTCTAAGAGGTCGGAGAGATTCTAATGTGTTGTAGCATTCGAATTGTGGTCCCTCATTGAAAACCCTCGCCCTCACTCTCTGCATCAAGATTATGTCAGGTAGCTCTAGGCAAGCTAACGGCTGGGCAGGTACTTCTCCAACTTCTTTGCCTTGAATCTGGTGCAGATAGTCAAAAGAAGTTTGGGCTGCGAGAGCACGGGATGATGGAACAAGTAAACAACAAGAACAGAGTGCACATGCAACGCCACAAAGACTGTGATCCAAAATTGTTCTTCTCTTGAAAAGACCAACAAGAGGAATCATGTTTTCTTCTCCCATCGCCATATTCTCTAATTCTTGAATCTCTCTTGGTTTGTGCTACAGCTGTTCAGCAGTGAGATGTGCAGGTTCTTTTTGAGAATCATACCCTGGGGTTTCAAGCCCTATTCTTCTCCGTTGTCCGTGTTCACCCGTTCCCATGCGATGCTTGTGGATCAAATTTTGGACAAGCGTGGTAAGGTGGAGGAGGAGGAGGAGGAGGTGACAAATACGAGATCGAGGGTCTTTGCAACGGGTAGATGGATGGTGGTTGGAAGGTTTCCAACATTAGTGGTAAGTTCCCAAGTTGCTCAATTGTATTTTCATTCTAGCTTACAGCAACACTGTGAAATTTTTAATTATATTCCCCCTTCTTGTCCTCGACGTCTATCCACGTTTCTCTCATGTATGTTCACTTTCCGAGTAGCCAACTAGCAACCAGTACTTGACAAACAACAAAATAAATATCAACATCTGTAAATGTTAGTGAGATGGAAAAAGCTGAAGGTTTTTCCTGGACAGCACAGTCATGAATATTGCTACCGCACCTAAAGTTCAACATCCATAGGTAGCATCAATCTAATATACACTTTGTATGTTCTCCAAAAGTCACACAGCAGTCTGCTTCTGATACTGAAGTATGGTGTAGCGATTTTAGATACGGGCCAGTTGCTTGGGACAACATGCTGCTGATAAAGTTTCCTGCTCTACTGATAGCGTTGCCTCCTACACTATACACTGAATTTAACATCAATTTTGCTGTCTTTTCAAAAGGGGGCGACAATATTGTGCTTCTTATTCATGTATTCAAAACTACTATCGACCTAGGACAGTGTGCCGTGTGTGGTCAAGCTTCCCATCTGCTTTTCGGCTCGTAAAAGCTTTACTCAGTTTCTCACTGATGTATAATTCACACTTTTTGCTTTTACACATCGTTTTCGTGAGAAATTTCAACTTGGACAAAGTTGCCACATCACCTACTAGGTGGAGGACCAGGGCCTCAGTGTTTCAAACCTGATGTGACCGCTGTGCGACTGATTTGTTCACCATCAGCTACGGGCATGCATCAGGCACAGTACTTTCTGCTGGTCGACTACTCACGCCCTGAAAGCTTTGAAAGTGTACCAGCTTCCTAAGTTCATTATGTTTTCACAAGCACTTTCACTGTGCAGATTAGTGAGTGATGGTTCAGCTATGATGTGCACAGGGTGCTCCTTTTACGAGGTCATATTCAGTCAGTCAGTCGCTTTCATAAGCAATACATTTCTCACCATACAACTCTTTTTACCGATGTCGGCAACGGAGCGCTCAGAAAACCAAGAGAGATGTCACTTCTCGAGTACTCTATCGCTTACAAATCACACGCCTGACCGGGCGTGGCTAGTAGTTCAGGACTAATTAGTCACACTGGATACTTTTGATCACATGACGGCTACGCACGGATGAAAATGTAAAACACAATAAAGGTCGATCCATTATGTGTCCTAAAAGTGGATAGCTACAACAATTTTAGCTGCGAATCTGTAGATAAAATGTAATTTACACTCTGGTGCGAACCTGATGTAGCCTGCAAAACATGGATACAAAAGTCGTTGTAACTAACAGGATAAATGAAGATTTTATTTAAAACATATAGCATATATCAAAGTCAAGAGTAGAGCCCTCTACAGATGGTATGAAACTGCAAAGTAGTAAATGAGTAGGTCCACAGGAATCCAAGCATTGCTATCAAACGCGTAGCCTTTTTCTGTATGTTCATGGTTAGGGTTTAGGATTCATGTTTCCCGGAAGACTCAACCTACTGTGTATGGAAGTTGAAGCGGGGCTTGTGATGTCTGATGAGGATGCCACGGAAAAGCAGTGCATATTATATCTCAGCAGGAAAATCATGAATTATCAGCTGTAATGGCTTCGGCATGACCTGATCATCACTATTTACCTTGGTGTACAGTAAGGACTTCAACAACGATGTGTGGTACCGCAGGGTTTTCAGTCCAATATTGTAACCTGCTGGGGATCAAACGACCAAAATTACTGATGACTAATCTCAGTGCTGTGCAAGGTCTGAATTGAACCTTTGGTGTCTCCCTTTAGCAGAGGAATCACCAATACCCAGCATAAGCAGAGACGGGAGAATAATGAAAGAATGCACAGGTCAACACATGGCCTGATGTGCATAATAATCACAAAGCCTGTGGTGGGAAAGCAGCTGCCGCTGCAGCCAGAACTGTTTTAAACCATAGCAATAAGACCCTATGAAGATGACTAAAACCCGATGAGTGAAAGGCGGAAGAGTGAACCTCACCCAAAATGAGAACGATTGAGCAATTTGCACAAGAATTATAAATATTGTGAATGCATCAATTCCATAGCCATCGCCCACATACATAAACAAAATATTGAGTAGACGATCGTTCCAAAATCAAATACTTGTGCGGCACTTCAACCATTGTGCAAATCGCTTACCACCACCCAAGGACTACAGAGTCCTGAATTTTAGCGCGGCATGAGCTTTTAAAACAGAGACAATGAAGGATGGACTGAAAAAAGACCCTTAGCAGCTAGGAATGCTATAGGAGAATGCAAAAAAACCTAGGCTGCTTGCATAAGTATGAAACCAGGAGTGAAGGGAACTCACGTGAAAAAATCTTTGCAATCTGCGTTTGTCCCGAAAACTGTACGAGACAGAGTGATCACCTTTACTACGTACAAATCGGAGGATAGTAAATTGAAGCTTTAATGCAGGACCGCAACTTCTAGGCCATCAAGCAGGTATACTAAGAAAACTAATCGCTGATATCGTTCAAAATTGTTATAATTACATCTGAAGGTAAAGTTGCATATGGGCAGGGGGCTTTAGAACTTCAATTCTCGTACTTCTTCCACTTACAGATAGCATTTCAGGTGTGAATTATTATCTGGAGTGGTTGAAGACCACTTACAGACTCTTGCAACCGCTTCGTAGCTACAGAGGAGTGCGTCGGCCCTCTGCCACGAAAGATAGATTTGAAAGGGATCAGGAAATTGTCAGCACTCAGCTAACCATATGTTCAATCCTCCAAGCCATATGTAAATAGCCTTTATGGCACGCACATAACATAGAAATATCGTACTCTTATAAACAGAATTTCACGTGGATCTGAATGTCTTCAACTCTTTCACACTGACATAGATGAAGAGACTACACTTGGATTCCTTAGAACATTAAAGAATCCATTAGTCCCAATGATATTCTTAAAAATAAAATATATCCAGATATCCCATTATATGTTGAAAAACGTTCCAACGTAAAATGTCCTCGTTTCCCCACAAGGAAAGAATTAGACCATATTTGGCTTATTCAAATGGTGCAGAAATTATACAAGCAGAAATTATCATTTATTTGATGCGAATCATCCAATAGAATACAACGGGTGTGATATTGTGGTCATCAACCACACATATGTGTACATTCAACAACAACGAACCGAAATTGGTGCTAGCTGAATATTAGACGACTTGATCAATTCCCAGGAAGCTTAACGTGGGAACTTAAAAGAAACGAATGGCATCTGTGAATCCTCTAATGCAGAGCAGAGCATCAGCCCGTCAACAATAAAAGACAGCCCTAAACAGCCAAGTAATGGAAGAGGAAGCATGGCTGAATCTCATAGTTCTGCTCTCAAGCTCATAGAACACAAGACAGCGGGCTTTTATGAGCTCCCGACACAACATTGATCAACGCATAATATACTTCGGCATTCTTTACCGATTAGCCGGCACGCTGTAGTGCAAAAATGTCATTTTAAAAGACTCTCATGAACACGCAATTCATCTGACCATTACTACGAGCTCCAAAAAGTTCGAGCATGTAGGTATGCTTGTGCTCGATACCTATTCGCGTAAAATTGAACAGGGTATATTAGATTTCTTCCTTTCACAAAAACTGACTGCCATTACTTCCCCGAGACATCATACCAGCTAGTCGTGGAAGGGCCAAAACCATGTTATCTGCAGCCTGTCGGCTTTTTGTTGAGGTTTTCACCCTCCTAGTCTCGTATACCGTCTAGAAGCATGCACTCATCACCCTCGTGCCTCCAGAGCTATCCTGAACGTATACAAGTTGAAAATTCTGAATGCTCAAAGTTGGCGGTTTTGACTATCTAGCCTAAGAGTACGTGCACATTTCAAGATATATATAGAGACCCAGTGACCTGAATGCACATTAATCATGGAGTTTTAAACGGTCAAGGGAACTCAATGAGAGGGTAAAGGGTTGCTCACTGAACGAAGGATTGTGAGTTTGATACACAGGATCTCATTCTTGGCAGGTTTTCCCACCTCATTCCTTGGCAGGTTTTGCTCTCAAAGCCAACCTTCGTTCACGAGGTCGCATTTCACGCACTTTTCGAGGCGGCATGACGAAGGGCTCAAGGGGTTTGTCACCGAATGTGTGGATCTCGTCAGGGAAGATTCTCAGCTTCCTGGCACGATCCTGCATATGGATGATAGAAAAAAATTAACAATCAAACCTTGTTCATCGTACTAACTTGTATGTATTACAAAATTCAAATAATATTGAAGTCGTTTTCATCACTCTTCAAAGGGATGTTCTTACATCCTGGAGCTTGTTGCGAGGCAACATCCGAAGTACAGCCTTTCTAATAACCTCCTCCGGTTTCCTGGCCATTTGCTCCTTGACAGTTCTCTCTTTCAAGTGGCCAATGTACCTTAGAAATTGAAGACAAATTGATCAACACTCAAACTACATCAGTTTTATGTCCGATACACATACTGCAAAATTCAGTACTGATATACTTTGTCTTTGGTTTTTGCTTCAACCAACCAACGCATATCTCGACTAGGAATTTCACTTACCCTGTATGCCAGCGGTAAACTTTGTCGGTGAGCTTGTTTCCTGTAAGACCAATGTGTCGAGCATTAACCACAACGCACACATCCCCATCATCTCGGTTGGGTGCATATGTGGGTTTGTCCTTTCCCTGCAAAACAACTGCAATCCTCGAGGCCAATCTTCCCAAAACCTGAACCAAGGCGATCTTCGTCACGTTGAAATGAAGTTTTCACAAAATCCAACTCCGAAGAGAAAGGTGATCACAATCAGCACTGAGAACCTCGTCTAACATATTCTGACTTCAGGCCTGAGCAAGGGAATCTCATACAAAGTGGAAAGAGCTGCAATTTGCATCGTCAGAATCGACTTTGAACGAATTTCCAACAAAAGAGCTTCTGGCGAAATTTAATCTGCAGAACAATTCATCTGGCTTTATTCTGCTAACCCATAAACCCTAGCATCAACAAAATCCACCCAACAACTGCAACCAACCGCTTGAAAGCACTTCATCCGACAAAGTCCGTACGAACACAACTGACTCCATTCCAAACCCGATCTCGGGTGAGATCAGACGACCAAAATCCTTAAACCCCACACACCGAATCACAGCACTGAGATCCCAGTTACGAGCACATTTACAGAAGAGAATCGGGAATTACCTCGCCCTTTGCATCAAAGACGCGCCACCGCAGGCCCTCATTCACCCACCGATTGATCAGAGCCATTTTGCGCAACGAAATTCCACCTGCACGAGGATTCAAAGTCGGGTGCAAATCATCGCTCTGGTTTCTACAGAGTTGCAGAAAGTTGTGCCAAGCCAAACGATTGTCAAACGACTGCAGTTGTTCCCCAACGATGCCACCTTTCTGGACTTAGATCTAAATTCCTGACGGGCCCACACATCTGCACGAATTAGGTTTGTCTGGATCCCCTGTAATTTTGTACAACTCTTGCCATAATCCCACAGCCTGCAAACACTCTAAGCAGCAAATCCTCATTCATGCAAATTGTTGTACCCCAAAGGAGGCCATTCAGACTTACCAGTAGCACCCCGGATGACTCAAATGAACCAAGGGTTAAGCTTTTCCTCCATTTGCAAGCATAACATATTAATAAAAAATTCCCAATAATTAATACCAAAAAACTACTTCAGTTTGCAAGCAGGAATAATTTTTGACTTGTTTATTGAGCGTCTGACTTAAACATGATATGTATTGTGGCAGATGACACAATTACCTCGAGAGATATGTGTCAAGTTGATTTTGCGTCTAATTTGAATCAATATGAGTTGACAGCTTCGAGTTTGTAGAGAGAGATAGGAGAAGAAAACTAAGGCGAGGAAGGCGTGGTGATTTGGGACTTATCAAAGGAGTCAGTGGCCGAATCTCACCCAGTATACTTAAATGACTTTAAGTGTACTAGTTTGAAACTAGATATGATTTAAAATCATGAACTGGAAAATATAAAATCAAATGTTGAATAAACAACCTTTTTGACATATAAATGTATTTTAAAGGTTAGATTCAGTATAAAGTATTTATATTGTCTTCATTTTAAAGTTCACAAATCAAAGCTTTTCTATTGATGATAACATGAAAAAAAACATTCATAACATTCAGAACTTTATGCACTCATTAAATTTTTTCTAAATTGTTACCAAAGTTATTAATTAGGAATGAGTCGTTTTGCATAATCTAGTGAACTACTTTCTTAGAAAATCATTACATATGTTAAAATGTACTATAAAAGCAAACTCTTGTGTGAAATATCGTTGATATGATTTTTTTTCTTATCGATATTCATATGTATAGATTAAAAAAATTATAAATTAATACTTCTTTGGTAATTATTTTATATATATATATAAAATAGATACTTGATATTTTTAGCTCTAAATAAATAAATTCTGTATCTACACACACACACAAGTTTGAACATAATGACGACTTAAAATTTTCTGTTATTATGTTTGATATTTCTATATATTTCTATTCTCAATTGTATAAGTCATATTAAAAGTCGAAATATGATTTTGATGCAGTGTGATTTTTTTTTTATATATCGATAAGTAAACCTAATGAAACTTCAAATAACATGTGTCACGATATGATAAATCATATTTCCAGTGTGTTAAAAGAAAAAAAATTCCCTATTTTAAATAAATTAATCAAAATAATACCAGGATTTAAAACAATCTATATGTAGTTATCATTTTGACATTTACATTTTACATCTTGAGAAAAAATTGTATTCACCAATAAAATCCAGTGAAAATTATTTGTACATCAAATATAATTTAAATAAAAGTAAAATATTTTGGATAAATCATGGAAAAAGAACCATTCTGAAAATTAGTATTAGAACGAAGAAAAACACTGGAAGTTTAAGAATGGAAAAAAAAAATAACAGAAGATAATTCAAGTAATGATATTATTTAAAATTCTAATTACAACTTTGCATTATGTAAAATTTATTTCCGTTTGAATTTAATCAACTGATATCCATCCTGATATATAAAAAATACTCTGATATATTAAAAAATAAAATTAATTAATTTCAAAAAATTAATTTTAATATTTGAATAATTGAGAATATGTATAATTTATTAATTTCTGACAACTTATGAAGTTATTTTTGATGCAATATTAAAAAATCATTAATTCATAATTGTTTCATTTTGAAAATAAATAACATGAAAATTTTCTGTATTTTAAAATTTAAATGTGATTAATTATGTAGACGAGTAAATTTGTATTATTTTTTCTAATTTTATTTAAAATCTTAAATTTGAATTGATAATAATAGACATAAGTTCAAAATGTATAAAAAAAAATCAACACAAAAATGTTAAAAGCCAAATATATTGAAATTAATTTTCTACATTTTTTTACACAATAAAAGTGACTAGTGACAGTAGTATACATAATCCAGCAGTACACATAGAGTACGTGTTCAACCTTCATATGGGCAATGTCCACGGGCAAAAATATGATCGTCATGATAAAAAGATGCAGCAGGGTTATAAAATAGTGACAGGGTATAAATACTCCAATTGTAACGGTCTTTAGCTAACTGAAAATAGAGTGTGACTCCAAAAATGAAGTTAACTGCAACACATATTTGTGTTTAAAAATATTAATAAGATTTAGGTACTATATAAACATATAATTAATATAGTTTAAGACATATATAAATTTTATGTATGTAATATAAAATTAAAATAAAACATAAAATTAAATTTATAATTTAAAATAAAAATACATTGAAAAAAATATTATCAATCCTAAAATAATTATTTTTTATGGAATTAATATATATTGAATATTTTACAAATTTTGTATTAAAAAAACTTAAAAATTAAATTTGATTTCATTATCAACAACTAAAAATTTATCTGCAACTCTTACTAGAAGTTATGCTCAATTATAATTCAAATTATTATAATCATATATAAAGAATCTTATTGTATTTATGTGATTCATTACGATAATTTTTTAAATATTTAACTTTTCATAAATGTACATTTTTTCATGGTTTGATGTTCAATATCTTATATAAAACTGAGATTATATTTTTTGAAAAAAATATTATTATCTAATATTTCCTGAAAATAATCAATAAAAATATTATGAACTAAAATTTTGAAAGTATACATTAGAACTCTATCATAAAAATTTTTTTTCAATTAAATGATTCAAATTATAATTTACAATTATTTTAGTTTATTTTAAATATAATAAATAAATAAATATTTTTTGATTTGATTAATGTTAGTTAAACTTCATCTTGTATTAACTAAGGGGTGGATAAAATCAATAAATCTTTATGAAAGTAATGGGTTGATGGTTTAATGCAATAAAATTTAATATTTGGTGGGTTTAATTATTGACACGTGGACGTCTTTGAAATGATTTCATCAAGCTAAAGTGACATGTGGAAGTCTTTAATAGAGACTTGCACTTGTCATGGTACTCACCTCATTAAAATCAAATTAAACTCCATTAAAACTATTTATGTGGTCTCACTTACATCGGATTAAACATTAAAAGCCAATAAAACCCCACTTGATATAACCATGACGTGCTAGACTTGGATTAATTACATCTACCAATAAACATGGTTATAGAAGTTTAGTTTAGCTAAAATGTGCACATTATTTCTTACTATATGAAAGAGAGAAGAAACCATTGACTACGTGCAGTTTAGCATTGCACTTTTAGAGTGAGAATGGAAGAGTAGAGTTTGGCAATGAAAGCCTTGTATACACTTGTGCTTGAGTAAAGTTTCTACTCTGGCTAATGGACATTATGTGTGAAAGATAAATCACATTATTTTGGTGTTGCGATTGTCGTCTTGATAGATCTTGATTGTTGGGTCTTACAAATGGTATTAGAACGAGCAACCCGGACGGTGCTCTAAATGACTCGGGTCTGAAAGTCCAAAGATGTGCTCACGTTTGCTGCACGGAAAAAATCACCCATGTGAAGAATCTTGGCAAAAATGAATCAACTAGAGAATGTATTTTTTGGCAATTTTGGCAATTAGACCAAACAAACTAAAACTGTTTAATCTTAAATTTTTCAAAGTGGGGTTCAAGCAAGCTGAACACACGATACAAGAGATCATTTTGGAAACACACGTAGTGTAAATTATTGATTAGTAAAGATTTCCTTAGGTCTTACAATTGTAAGACCTATAAAATATAATTTTAAATAATTTTTTCATATCAAAATGAATTTTTTGATAAGAATATTGTAAAATTTCAATTCAATTTAAAGTTCTTTGGCATTTCTTGTATTCAAACAAGGTTCAAATTTTTCAATTAAGTTATACAAATAGTTAAAATAAAAATAAAAATAATTGAAAATAGATTATTTAAATTAAAATTTAATGATTTTTTTTAAATACTTAAAGCTAGCGTTTTTATACAATTATATGATACAATTAAAAAATGTATGAAAATTTTTTAAAAATTATAATCCAAATATTTGATTTAAATAAATTTTGTAAATTATGCATAAATATTTTTTTGAAATTTTGAAATTTGAAACTAAAGTATTTTGCAGAAAAAATAATGGCCTTATAATTTCAACATCATACATTGTAAATTGTGAATATACATATTGGTTATTGAACTTTTAAAAATCAAATATATATTTCTAAAAAAAAATTATAAAAGGGTTGCAGTTATTAAATAAACTACAAATATATATTGAATTTCTAGTTCTCATAATTCTATTTTGAAACACATTATAAAATATAATTATATGCAAAATTATTAAAATTAATTATTTGATGATAATTAATTATTTGTTTAATTTAATGATGAATAAATTTATTATTCACAATTTTAAAAATATGGTTTGAAAGTTCCAAAGATTAAATCATTGTTATATAAATTTAAGATTTCAAGAAAAATTAAAAGTACAAATTTTGTCTCCTGTTTTAGTTTTATATGAGATATTATTTAGATCAATAAATAAAAACATTTTATTTAATATATTTTTATATATGAAATAAAATAATTAAAATTTTGTGAATATAAAATAAGAAGTAATATATATTGGTGATGCATATATTAAAAATGTATTAGAATTTCTATATGTATATTTTTTAAATACAATGCATATCATGATGATAATAAAAAAGAAAATTAGATTTTTTAGAAAATTATATCTTCAACTATATAGATGAGGTAAAATTTAAAATAAGTATGAAAGAATCCACATGTATATTAAAAAAATTTAAAAGTTAAATAACTACTATTGATTAAATTTTGAAAGCAAAGTAATTTATTTTAATAGTTTTGATGTCTTATTTTGTACTTTTTTCAACATTAAAGAATAAGGTAAATTATTAATTATAAATTAATTATAATATCATGCAACAAAAAATACATAACACGTGTCATGAATGTGCTCAATTATTATTTTTTACATTTTTGAGTGAAATATACTTACTC